ATGGTCGGTTCTCAAGGAAAACCACAACTTTGAGGGGGGGGGGTAGAAGAAAAGACACACCCGTTTGCACCTCAGGTATTAAATAGGTTGGCACGGCTGACGCTGAGTGAAGCCATGAGGAATCCCACATATGAATTGAAGTTCAAAGAACTGTGGTCAGTAGTTCGACTGTTGTCAGAAACTGGTTGGTGGTTCAAGTCTCAACTGAGCGGGGGCGACTTCGATAGTGATGCAATGATTTGCGGACAAAAAGGACTACAACAAAGCGACAAAGTACAGCAGGACCGCTCTTCAGCCAACTGCGAGACGAGCAGCACCAAAAGGATGAAAAGCCGACACAGAACCCTACAACTCACTACAAACATCCTTCAAATCCCTGCAACATGCTGCCAACACCGCGACTTCGGGCAAAAGCGGCCAAGGTCCTTGATGCCATGCTCACGGAAGTTGTAGCTGGGAAGCCACGCTGCAATGGGAAGGAACCTCTGGCAAGCCCGACTGTTTCTTTTGGTTGTTGTTGTTTACCACAAACCAGCGGTGCTAGCACACAGAACGCTCTTGTGGGCAGCTCTTGAAGAAACACCGCGCACTGTGTGTGAATCTCTGAAAAGCCCTGCGAGGAGCTTTGGCTTGCTGGGAAAACGTGGGGAAGGCCAACAGGCCTGTCAAACAATTGAATGACTGCTCACTCGAAACCGGCACGTTTTGAGGTTGCAGTGAAGTGAGCAGGTTTGCCAGGGTAATTCCCAAGTCGTTCCTTGGCTCCTGACTTGGGGATGAGAAACGAGAAAGTTGCTGAATTGGTCGCTGGGCGCAAGCTGTTTAGGGAAAAACTTGCCTGGCAAGCTTGCGCACACGCCGAGGTGGTATTGCCCTGAGACTGCTGAGACCCCGCGGCATGGGGACTGGCATTCGCTTGGCCTTGCGGCTAGAACCTTCGAGAAAGCCAAGCACCGCACCAATTCAAAGCGCGAAGTGTGTAGCAGGTAATGTGCTACAACAACGTGATCACCTGTACTTATGTGTGACCATTTGCACGGAGCAACATGTTGTACTCGATTATGTATATCCGATGGCTGTACCGATTCCACACGAGCAAGGGGTTGCCTTATCCCTTGCCTCATGGCATTTGATGTGAGCTTGGCCAAGTCGGTGGTATCTCCTGAGGTTTACCATTTTGCACCCAAAAAAACAGTGGAGGCGCTCCATCGGTCTTTCACCAACCAACGTATGTCAAAAGGCAAGCGCTGCCCATCGTCAACGTCGCAAAAGTCCCTTGGCAAAGTCAGTGTCTGATCCAAAGCTTCTTGGCGTTTCTTGGCTAGCGGGATTCAAGGTGGTAATGACATGAAGATCTCGTGCGATTGAATCCCAGACTTCCTCAAAAACAAATCCTTGCATTGCACAATGAGGTGAACTCGGCGAGTTCCTTGGGGGATGAATACGCCTGCCTTAAGCTATGATACCGACTGCTAGCACCAGCTATGTTACAACAGGCGAAAAAAACACCACGATTTCAAGCATTGTATGAGTGTCTTTTGCGAGGTGTACCCGTTGTGGGGTTGTTTTACAAGGAAGCCAAACGAAAACCGCCATTTTGGGTGGGGCCCCCTAAAAAAAGACACACACACACACACAAAGGAACAGTGTGTCAGCCAAGGCGCTTGGAAATACGCTCCCTCCAAGTCTGTGTCGGAGTGGTAAATGACAGGTTGGGCTCTGGTGCCAGCGGGAAGAAATCTTGCGCCATGGCGTGTGCGAAGTGAATTCCGGATGGAAGACTGGGTACTTGTAATTGCCTTTCTCATCCAGAAACCCTACTGACCTGACGCACTGTCGCAAACAACACTATGTAGTCAATTAAGCCCCAGCATGTGGTCTGGCTGGGACGCTGCCCCCGCGCAATAAAGGCGGCATACTCCCCTGGGAAAATTTCAAAGCCGGCAGGCTGCCTGGTTCATTGACAAGCCTTGCTTTTGAGAACTTCTACATGCGCTCGGCGCTCGTTCTGCTGCATGCCTGTGGATGCAGTGCGCGGTTGATAGCTGTTAAAGCTGCGGAGCCCCTGAGCTTCAAGCCATGAACAAGTTGCAGGACCCTACATTTCAAGTCACCTTGCTCTGTTCTCTCGGGGCTTGCCATGCCAAGATCGTGCACCCATAGATCAAAGACACACAGACACACACTGCGTCTTGTACGACCATGTGCTTGTGTTGCTAGCAAGCCGGTGGCAAAAAATGCGTGCTGGCTTGCCCGGCTTCACTGCAAAAGCTGCTGCAGCTGAAAACCAGCATCCCTGGAAAGAAACCCGGTGCATCCAACCAAATATTCGACCTCTCTTCTGGTGCGGCCGGGATGGATCAAGACCACCGCTTTTCCCCACTGGAGTTCTGGTTGGTTGACAAAATCGCACAGTAGCGGGGGGATCCTTCAATTTCGCGCTGATTCATTCACCAAGAACACTGTGCAAGCCATGTCCGGATCCCGATCCGATCTCCACCTGTGTGTGGTGCGGAAGCACCAGGAGGTTAAACTGCTTGCCTTGCACAAAAGTCGGAGCCCTTGCAAGTGGCACATACTGACACATATGCAGCATTAGTTCATGCATGTACGTAGGCATGCAAACATCCATCAAGCAACACTAGGTGTATGCTGTGGCTTGCTTATTCATTCTGGCCAAAGTCCCAGTGCACATTTATATATATATATATACATAAATATATGCGTATATATAGATATATATATATATATATATATGCCCTTTTCATGCTCGTCTCTTTGCCTGAGTCAGCCCTTCCAGCATTTTCAGGCCATCCCCTTTCAGGTTCGCTGGGTGCCACACGCATTTGCAGCGCCCACCTGGCCGAGAGCCCCAAGACCCCAAGGCCCTCCTTCCAAATGAGGCAGAATCTGAAGCCTATGGACCAAAGGTTTGGGCCTTGGCTTGCTCTCTCTCTCTCTCTCTCTCTCTCGGCGGCCGGGCTGATAGAAGATCTCGCGGAAAATGTCCAAACCTGGGCGCGGTGCATGACAGGCCTTCTCAAATGTCCAACGTTGGGGTGTTTGACACCAGCAAATATCCCAACCTTTGAGAACTGAGGGCTGAGAATTCCAGATCCGCAGCCCACATCCGAGCCCAACGGGGCGTGACAGGCACTGGGTTCTGCACGGCTCGGCCCGCCCGTTGCTCTCAGGCGGACACCTGACTTTGCACCTGGACGGCTTGGCCTCATGGCTTGGAGCACCTGAGCTGACGCAACCATGGAGCTTCCCCCGTTGAATGCCGCTTGGAAGCTAAAATGGTCGTGAGGATGCGGGGGGCTGGAAATACTGGAAACGTGTTCCAATTGCTTCAGGGGGATTAGAGTCGAGCACACGCACTAATGGAGCATGTGGGCTTGAGTTGCGCTTTCAATAAAATCGGGTGCAGGATATTGGCATGCTGGGAAAAAGCCGAGATAAGCCGAGCCCATCTGAAACGTGCGACCCAAAACGGTCCGAAGTGGGCCCCAAGTTAGTCCAACTATATCCAATAAATTGACACCGGTTCAGCAAAACTCTCATCCTCAGAGTGATTCAAAATGGCCCCAAGTGATCCCAATATGAGCGAACATCACAGTCGTGCCATTGCAAGGTGATAACTCAAATAGCTGCTGCCATTTGGGGAGAACGTGCCACTCAACAAAGTCTCCAAAAGGCCCGAATTCGGCCTTACGTCTCAAGCGGAATTAAGCAGACCCAGTCACCACAACAAAGCAGCTGTCAAGCTAAATCCGTCACCGCTGCATGTGCCATTCGGGGCTGATGCAACATGAACCAGACACATGGGTTCCCAGCAGAAGCCACGTCGTTGCCGTCCATCAAGCTGTGGCCTGAGTCACGGGTTCGGATCGCGCATCGCTCTCGGAAATTCATGTTTGTAAAGCCTTGGCACCGGCTCTTCTGGGCTGCCCTCAGATCCCCTGCTAAAAGTTTAACTTTTAGTGGGTCAAATGGAGACACCCACTAAACACTAAAAGTCCAAAAGGCTAAGGGGATGGCTGGGAGCCACCAAACAGCGAAGGCGCATGTTTGGGCTGGTTCAGCCATGCCTCATGGCGTTTCGCGCTTCACCTGTGGTCCAACTCAGCTCCCCACTTCGCGAGAGGTCCACCAGCTCCTTCCCGGGCCCGTACTCTCGCTGCGCCTGTCCAAGGTATCTGGGAAAGGCGATTGTATGCCCTCATATGAAAACCGGAGCCCAAAATGGAACCCTGGTAAGTGGAAACATGGACCAACACCTGCGTAACCCCTCCTGTTTAATTTTGAGCCACACCCATATACCCTCCCAAGACAATCTTCCTCTAAGAGGGACCCTCTGGCAGGTTCCTCCTTTACAAGTGGACAGGAGGCAAGGCCTCTTGACTTCCAGGGCCAAGGCTTCTAAAGCTGCAATGAATTGGGAACTATCTACAGGTTCAGACATAGACATCCCGCACGCTGGATCCTTCCTCGCTAATTTTGCCCAGGGAGTATATAAGTTCAGGCGACGAGGGGCGTACTGTAAGCATCTGTCAAATCCTTTCAACCTTTAAACTGCTGAGAACCAAGCCGTGCTTTACAACCACCCGAACGTGCTTAGTCAAAACCAGTGCTTATGTTCACTTCAGGCCTCGCGTGCCAGACATGGCGTGTGGGCAAGTTCTCCTTAGGATTTCGCCGCCAACAAGCTGAGCTGCAGGCTGAGTCCAAGCAGCTGGTCACCAGTGGGTGAAGCGGGTACGTCTGGCGGACGCAAATGAGATGTGCAATGGTGTGGCTGATGCAACCCTCTGGGAATGGGGGGGGCGGGGGTCCTTTGAAGGAACGGATGCTTGGCAGGGGGCCTACCTCAGACAATGCCTTGCCAATTGAAGGGCCTCATTGATTCTCTCGAATTGTCACAGGCTTAATGGGATACTGGGGTAGTTTCAGGTGTCGTTCATTGACAGCGCAGAAATCACAGGCCCGAAGCAAACCGGTGAAAGTTGTGGCCTCATGATCTGGCTGGGTCAGCATCAAGTCTGAACTCCGACTTCCAATTAAATCAAACCGTCTAGCAACTGCTTCGAGTGCTATGCCAAAATGGTGCGTCTCGGCCTATCGTGCGCATCACCTGCTGCTCGTGTCTTGGCCCACAAAGGGCAGCATCTCTTATGCCGATCCCGGTGAGCAACCAAGTAAGCGGGGGTCAGCGACCCGGTCCCAGTTGAAATGCATCGCCAAAATGACTCGTTTGAACGTCCTTCCCTCCAGTCAATTTGCACTGAGCCATGCCAAGATCGAACTCAGCATGCAAAGGCCCACTGGGCGGCATGCAAAACAGTTGCCTGCTTTATGGCCAATAAGGCACTTGCCTGCTTTTTGAACTCCCGGTGGGTCAGCGAGAGGTCTTCGCTCTTTGCATACTTCAGGAAGAACAGCATGGTCCTTGCCACCACTGCTCTCCATCCGTCGGCTGATGGCAGTTGTCAACTCAATGGAAATGTGAAAGCGTGACATGAGTGGCACGCCAGCTTCAGAAAGTCACCCCTAGAGACAAGGCAACAAACACATTTGTAATGAATGTCCTCATCATGCAGCATACCTCATAACATGTCTTTGATCCGCTTTGATCAGTCTGCTTCGGATGTATGTATGTTGCCTTGCCCGGCCTGCAGCACGAGTTGGCAGAAACAACATCCACACAAGTCCATTGCACCTCCATTCTCTCAGTTCAGTTCTAGGCCCCTGCAAAGGTTTCCGTGCAAAACAAAATGGGCACTGCTCCTGAGTTTTTTTGTGGGTGGGGCCTAGGTCGGGTATTCACAGTTGGCCAGTCTTGGTTTGGTGGCTGGGCGCCCGCACTCGATGTGTGCCAACAGGCCCTTGAGGTCTTTTGGTGCCACTTTCTGGCGATGCGGGGCACTCAGGCCAAAGGCGTCACCAGTCAAGTGACACGTCTTGAACGTAGTCATTGCATCCTTGAAGACCGTGACAGCAGAGCTGCCATGTACTGCAATGGCCTTTCCTTTTTGTCCGGAGGGGGATGGGTCGAAAAACATCTTTTCCAACCTGCACGGCATTTCACGGTCTCAAATACGCTAGGTTGTTTCTGTCTCAGGATCGGACGTTCGCAAGTCACGCCCAAAGACCCCAAAACTCCAATGTCCCAAATACCACCTGTTCAGGTCAACTGGCCTGATTATTTCAGCATAAAGTCACACCCTAAGCGGGCTAAAGGGAAACAACCCCATGTTCTGAATTTGACAACCATAGGTGGCCTTTTGGCAAAATAGCTGGCCCTGGTAAATGGAATAAACCCCATCTAAACCAGGGCCCTCCATTTTTTAAGCAAACCAGCCAAAAAAGGACACCTATGTTGACAACCCCTAGAAACCATTAAAATGACCCCAGCTCAAAGGACTTTTCTCTGATTCCGGCAGGCACCGCCAGGGCACACCTCATCCTCCACCACGACCGCAGCTCTGGAAAGGAAGACCTGGCAGCGATGCGAATCAAACCGTCCAACAATTCCCGCAAGTCGGGAATTGTTAGAATGAGAACCATCAGCTGAGCTGGTTGTACTTGAAGTGAGGTTGCTAGCTTGCACCCAATGCAAGCAAATTGACTTCACATAATTTCGTTGCAATCCGCATCTATTGGACCGGTCAAACAAATACCGAAGATATGAACCTGGAGCGCTTGTTGGATCTGATTTGTGCGCATGTGCCCTCACTTTCTGAGTGAATGGCCCCAAACAAAGTCTGAACTTTTTCGTTTACAGCTACAATGGTCTCCCAAAAAAGAGACTAAAGTCCATGAATTCAGGAAGTGAGCGGCCATCAGCGGGGCTTATCGTTCTTCGGCCGGCTTTTTGATTTTTTTCTCAAACCCCCTAGCGAAGCTGAAGACATCACGGGCGACCGACCGAGCCGGGGCCTGGTTCACCCCGCCCTCAGGGCGATCCACCAGGCGCAGGCAAATGTCCAGGTCCGCGAAGTCAAAAGGCCCCAGCCTCGAAGAGCCCACAGTTGCTCGCGTCGCGAAGCTCGCTGTGTCTATTGACGCAAAAAGTGCCAAAGGACTGCAATTGAGCCTGCAACAGCCATTGCAAATAAAAGGGGCCTCTTTGAAGTTGGGAGCCAAAATGAGATAACAGTGCTGGTTGAAGACAATGTGAATGCACTGCCGCATCTTCTGCCATCACGGCTTGCCATCCTGGCTGATGCTCTTAAGGGGTGGTCGACGGTCGTATGGCATTGCTGAGCCAAGTTGAGTCGAAGGTACCTTCAGCACAGTTCGCGCTGACTCGTGCTGTGTGTGTGTGTGGGGTTGCTCAACATCGTGTGGAGCTGCCAATTGTTTTCTTTTGTCTTGAATGCCTCATGACCCCATGGCACTGGTTGTCTTCCAGCAGCTGCAGTTCAAACCATCGAAGGAACATGCCCAGCTCAACTAGGGAACGGAGTACTGGCCAAATACAGTCTTCGTTGATATTCCTACTTGTTGCAATGCACAAAACTGACCACGCTGTTGTCATCCGCCAGGGAATTGCACTTATCAGTTCTGACCATAAGCTTCTGGGCAAGCCAATGACGTTAAAGGAACCGAAACCGAACTCGCAACACCAAAGCCAAGCACACGGTAGCCTTGATGCCCTAAGCTCATTCAGGCGCGGACTGCGGACAGTTCATCACCTGCAAGAGGCGAATTTGAGCTGCTGAGATGTCAGGGGTGCCTTCGGAGGCCCAGGTTCTCAAGGCATTTGGTTGAAAAGGGGCCAACAAACTACTTGCCTTCCCTTCGTGTTGCATGTTTTTGCAAATATCCAAAACAGAACCACTTGGCCAAGCAGCCAAGGCTGCGCATGTTGCACTAGTTTGGCCTTTGAGTGCCAAAAAAAAGCCGCTTTCCAATCACCCGCCCGCCCGTTTTTTGCATGACTCACGCTGTTTGTGGCTCTCGAAGGCATATCGCAACGCCGACGCTGCCGTGCACACCTGCAGGCTTCTCTGCATTGGAGCTGGCTTTTGTAAAGAATGCGTACTTCAATGCATCATACATCCATCCGATTAGATATGCAAAGACACATATGCGCTCGCGAACCAGTTGGTGGGAGCAGTGCTTGATTTTCTTGCAGGTGCTTTCCACGGCAAACATTTCCTGGCTCGCGCTCAGGCCTCATGCTTCAGAAGGCCAGCGAGCTGTCTGACGTTTCGGTGCTAGCGATCTCGGTAAATTGGATCAAGCTGGCAGATGTGAAGAAGGTCCCCGACTGTACTGGTACAGGCTGACCATTGCTTCACCCCGACAAGGAGGGGAAATCACAAGAGCTCTGATACGAGAAGGCATGCTTGTCAGCTGATCTAGCAAGCAGCTGGCAACTGGATAAATATGCGTTCTCATCAACAATCTTGCAGTCTCGGTAGTTAATAAAGCTTCGTGGCTGTCCGCACGCTGCTGCACAAGTTCCCCTGTAACCCACACAAACACCAAATGCCACTGACTAGAGTGCCCGCTTACAGTCGCTCCAGAAAGCTGGTCTTAGCAACAACTTGTACAAACGGAGCAATCGGATGCCCCGGCAATTACATCATCCCATTGATTTCAGCTATGGTACCTAGGACCTAGGGATTTGGGTCTGGTCTTGAATGACTTCACTGCTTGCTGACTAGAGCGGTAACTTGTTGCTGCGAGTATGTTGACGTCCTGGATTGGTGTCTCAAGGCATGGCATCCTTGTGCCTTGGTGCCTGCCCTCCTTGCCGCAATGCGCGAGCGCGTATATCGAATTCAAACCGTGAAGGAAGATGTCAGACCTAGTGCAGCCACCCAATGCCAAGGACCACTAAGGCTATGAATTTTGATAGGGAACTGGTGGCTGGGCATGATTCACCTACAAGATGTCCCGAATTCAAGTTCATACCCAAATCTGAACAAGGAAACTAGAAGCGCTGGCCTGCGAATGGAGGGGCCCCGTGCAGAAACTCGAACAAATCAAAAGAAGGGTGTCAACCAGTACCCCCGCCGGACTCCCAAACAGTACATAGGCTTGGAACGTCCAGTTCTAAGACCCAGAAAGCAACTTGACAAACCCGATATTTGGCTCTCCTGGGGCCTTGACTCGTAGGTGGAAACAGGGCGAAGACCCTCACAAAGCTCTTCCAAATCCTAGCTTTGGAGCACCTCCTGAAAGGAGCCGCAAGATCTGCCAGTTGCAGCTTCAAAGAGGGGGCCTCAATAGATAAATTTTCCCCAATTCAATGGTAACAACCAGGTTGTGCAACCTATCAAACACTTTGCTGCAAATAGCAGTGCGTCCAATGCCCACTGCAGGCCCAAAATACGTCCCACAGCTAGCTCGGCTATGTTCATACGGCCATGGCTGAAATGAAAACTCCTCCAGCTGGTGCTCAGTTAGCTGCATACAACAGAGCTACCAGGCACAACGCATCAACCATCATCAACCACATTTTGATCTCTTTGTCAAGGGGGGCAGGGCATCATTCAGGATACCCCAGGGAATTACGGAGGGCCAGTCCCGTGTTCCCTTCAAAAGCACCAGCTGCTTCCGGGCCTTTCCATCTGATGGGAATCTGCGGAAAGGGGCGGACCTGGCGGAGTGCTGTGTATTCAGCCCAGGGTGTTCTCAGCACTGTAGGCAATGTAGAGGAAGCCATCATCCGCCTTGTGGCTGTCGTAGATCTGGGCCCGGGTTTCCCGGTCGTCACCCTCTCAGTTAGCCATGCCGAGGAAGTCAGCAAGCCACCAATTAATGCTTTCAACATCTTTCAACGTATTCATTCCTTCATCGACGAGCAGCTACTTCTGCACCTGTGGCCCTCATGGCTTAGATGGCAGCTCACAAGAAGGAAGTATCAAATCGGAAGAACGCTTTTGGTGGATCGTACGCCTCGCAAGCTTGAACTGAAAGAAACCCCGTTGTACAGGGTCCGTTTTGTGGTGCGAAGCTTGCTTGCCCCCCCCCCCCTGGCCGCCTCGGACATCAGCGCACCGGTCTTCATCGCGTTGTTGCGGCCGTTGGTGGAAAAGAGGTAGATCACCTGCTGGGAGTTTGTGCTGAATCTGAGTGCTGTGAAGTGCAAACCCTCCTTGGTGCTGTCCCAAAGGTTGCAAGTGTTGAAGGCCTCTTGTGCCACCAGCGCCTTCCATTCAAAGTGAGAAAACAGCACGAGAGACCAGCATTGCCTGTGGCAACATTAGTTCCGAATCGGTTCGCCACATGTGCTTAACCTGCACTCTCAGTTGAGAAGCAGCCGGGCACATCCAATCGCAGCCTGGTCTGCGAAGAGGCCGTTTCCGTTGGCTGCTTGCTGGATGTGCTTCTGCACGATGTACTTAAACTCGCCGCAAAGCCTGATTCAGCGTAGGCGTTCAACACCAAGGGAGTGAGACTTAGAAACAAACGTGTGAGGCTGCAGGCTGGGAGCAGCGACTGGGCGACCCACAAAAAAACGGCTCCCTGCTCTGCCCTCTGCTGGGCGCCCCATGCATCCGAGGCGCATAGAGCCCGGCACCAGGAACTTCTTCTTCTCAATCTCTGGGAGGTTCGTGCGCGGTGCCTGGTGACCAATTTCACTTTGCGCCTGGTGCCCGGGTGTGCCTTGTCATCCACCTCCTCAGCCAACACATGCCCCCAGAAACGGCATGCCCATCCGATGTAACGCCCCACCTTCTCGCAGATCACGGGAACCCTGTCCGGGTACTTGCCTCGGAAGCGTCAACATGGCGAGAGCACAAGCACCATTGACACTTGGCAAACAAATATCAACGTCAAGGTCAGCAACAGCCCACCAAAGTGAGTTGGCTTCAAGAGACTAGCAGGGACAGGATGGTTCTCATCAAGCACGAAGACTCTAACGAAAACGATTGTGGCGAATGATACCTTCCAAACCGACCGGAGGGGCACAGTGTATAGGTATGTTCACCCTTGCAACTAGCTACAGTAACGAGCTCAATCCCACGGGTGTGCTTTTTGGGTGGCACGCAGTGTGCGCAGTGCTGCCAGTGTGCCTACCTTTGGCCGTGGAAGAATTGTGGAACGGCGTGCGGCCGGTGAAAGCCTTTTTCTGCGTGCTTGCCAGTCCTTTCCAAGCAGCCCAGTTCCCATAAACAAGGGTTGATTTGTTTACATGGTCGGCGTCCTGTCGCCCTAAACGTCGGCGGCCTGGGACGGAAGCAACCATTAAGCAATACTGACCTGAGTCACACGCAGGTGCCCCGTTACAACGAGTCGGGATGTTTTTATCAGGGCCAGGGTGAATGTCTTCTGCCAATTTCGGTTTGTCTTTAATTGGGGGGACCCCAAAGTAGTTTTTTTTTTGTGCTTTCCCTTCTGAAGTATTTGGTGCCGAGAGTGCCGAGAGTGCCGAGGTGCTGAGGATTCGCTCGGCCTCGGCCTTCCTCCGGTCAAAGGGCACGCTCTCCTTGAGGGACATGGCTGGACACCTCGATGCACTTGGCACGTTCAAGCAACAACCCTGGTGCCTGCGCCAATTCTAACCAAACACACCAGTAGGTCCCATCTAGACATCCGGATTCCTCTGCCTACCATGCTGTTACCACCAATGCGTCAAAGGCCATGTCACGTGGAACAAGTGTCGACCCAAATTGCCGTGAGTTGGCAGTTTCGATGTCAATGTGAAGTCTGGAGGGCTGGATGCAGTCGCATCCATCACCTGCTTGCCTACTATTTGATATGCCATGGCTTGCGTCTGCCTGTAAGAAAGTGGGCACCAGTGAAGCGTTTCGCTTGCCCAGAAGACCATCGAGTCCGATTGTTTCATGCCCAAACTTTGTCCTCACCTCTCTAGCTGCGCGCTACTGCGACAGTCAGGTCTTCAGTCTCACCAAATATCGAACACTGAAGAACCTTACTGCAACCCATGCATCCAGGGCGCTGAGGAATGGCACAGCTTGCGACCCGTCGAGAAAAAAGGCTGCGAGGCGTTGTGATATTCTTTGTGTCACCTTGCCTTTGGCTCCAAGGGGTGCAACAACATTCCCTTCACACAAGTTCATCATGTAAAGCCGAGGTGCCTGTTTGCTGGACCTTCAGCTACGAGGTGTGGGTGAGCAAGCAAAGTGCCAAGGTTCCAACTAAATCGATGCGGATGAATGCAGAGACCTCTGCTGTTATATCAGAAATCATCCTAAGTCCGAAGAAATCACATAATCATCTGGCTGGTGCTCAGCGGGGAATGAGGGAATGACCCATCAACCAGCCCTTGTGGTTTCCCTTAAGGGGATCCTCTTCCGGTTCATTCCCAAACCCCATGTTGATTTTCTACTGCGAAGCAGCAAGCCATTTGCAAAGGGAACACGAGTTGCCCGGATCTCCAAGAGACATGCACACGGCATCCCATGATATCCCATGCCTTCTGAATGATCAGCGTCTGGACAGAGTTGTTGCAAACCCTTGGCGACACATGTGTGCAAAACAACAGAAAGGAGCACATGGACTTCACAGAGACATGCACAAAGCCCGGGAATGAATAGACAACACGACAACATTGAAGGAGCAGGTCCATGATATTCCACGATGATTCACTTCCGTATGGCCCAATATTGAATATCATCTGAAGGCTCTGTGGCAGCAAATGTAGTCCATGGAGAAATGGTGTAGTCAGTGCTGGGAGGTTTTTCGGGAGGATAGACATTCGCGAGAGCATATGATGACCCTGGCGACCCCTCGAGATAGCAAAGAATCAAACATGTTGTATTTTAAACGGGTTGTTGGCCCTGCAAACGTCCTCGATTTTGCGAACATCTGTTCCGCAAACAAAGTTCACTTGTCACCTTGGCTCCTGACATGGCCTTGTCCTTCCAAGCAAGCCTCGGTGCAGTGCAGGCCAAAAGACAGCGTGAAAGAGGCCGTCCCACCGCTCCGACGCTCGAGTTGAGGCAGCCTCGACTCGAGCCGTGAGGTCGTCACCTGTTCGTTGGGTTCAAACTGAGGAGGAAAAGCAAAAGGAGCGGAGTTTTGGGGAGCACGTCTTTGCATGGGTTCAACAATATAGAACGGGCTACGCCCGGGTGCCGCCGACCCTCCTTTTTGCGTGCAGTATGACATGGTGGGAGGCGGGTTGATGATCACACATATGGGCAATGCTGAGTCATCGATGTTGTTTCCACAATCAGACATTGCATTCCACCACTTACTTTCGCTTTGCTTCTCTACACACATCCATCTATCCAGTGTTTCTTGCTGTCGACTCGTGATGCTGAACTACCAGTGGGTGTTGCAGCATTCAATTGTCATGGGTTGCATGCAGCAGTTGAATGTAGGCCAAATGTGGTGCTGTTGAATGATTTGGTGCACGGCATGCCACACCTTGTAGCTTGGCTCAAGTATTTTGTGCGACGCTTGTCATCATGGCGCTTCGTGGTCCACCGAAAGTACAGCTTTTAAGGCCTCCGAGAGCAGCATCAGCACGTCCTTCCCGGCCAAGCATTCAGCTCAGCTTGGTCAACGCAGAGCTCTTGGCAAGGCTGGAATTGCGATGTCGCGAGCTCGTGCGGGATTTGGCCCAGAGCAAGTACGCCAGGGATAGCGCGCATGCTCGCCCATATGGGGGCCTGAACGTCGTACTGGCGGGAGACTTGTGGCAGTTGCCTCCTGCAAGCTTTGTTCGATTCAACAACGGCATGATGCAAATCGAAGTCTATGCGGGGCAAACAAAAAAGCCAGCCACCTGTTTCGGGCAAAGAAACGCAAAGCACGTGCCTTGCTAGGACCGTCACGAACCCAGCTTCTCGGGCAAATGGAAAGATGTTTGCTTGCCAAACCCCACTGGGTCCCTGTTTGTCCAACCACGAACAAGCTTATTGCACTAAGCCAAAAGGTTCACTGGAGGTGGTTGGAGAAGCAGGCCCCCCCCCCCTCCCCCCCCCCTCCCCCCGCCCTCCCCCCCGAGGCAGCTGCAAGACCTCCAGGGCCTGGCACGTTTTGCATTTTTCTTCGCTGGCTTCGTGGCTTGGTATGCCACCTGGAGCTCCTCTGGGTTCCGGGTGGCGGTTTTTTTCTTTTGGCGACCCGTCTCTGACCAAGGAAAGCCAAAAAGTAAAGCCTTTGGAAATTGGTCGCTTTGGCCATTTTGGCACATACCCTTTGGCACATACGATTCTAGAAACTCAGCTAAAGGGTCCAACAAAATGGGTGAGTGCTACAGAAGTCGTGCCATCGGTGCTCGGTGCTTTGAAGCCCTCCAGGCCTGTGATCAAGAGGGCTTGATCCATCCCCAACCAGGGTTTCAACAAGAAACATCAAGTGTTTGCCTTTTGTCGCCAAATCATTTGCCTAAGCAACCAACGTCTGAACATGGAATCATCAGTTGCATCTCCTTCTGCCCTCTCCGATCTCTTTCAGCCCCCGCCCTGTTTAAGATGCACCTGCTCCGCCCAAGCCAGTCGCAGAAAGCAACAGCCACTCGGGCCTTCTCCAAGGATGATGGGTCACTGCGGCGCAGGTCCATCCTGGGGCGAGTTTAGGCCACGTGCGTCGCCCCAAAACTTCAGCTAGGGTTTGCCGAGATGAGGCTGCGATTCGGTTTGAGGATCATTCGACAACCGCTGTGCCAAGTGGAATGCCCTCAGCTGGGCTTGCGGATGTGTTCAACCGGCCCTGCTTGCTACCGCCTGCCACCGTCCATGCGGACCCTGTTTCCGACAAACAAAGCTAAGCTGCTCTCAAACCAATCCGCTGCACTGGCCCTGTTGCTGCCAACCGTTCCAATTGGCAGAAAGCCTCATAGCCCACACACGAAATGCCTTTCTGCCATGCCTACAGGCCACATATCCAATAAACGCCCAAGATCATGCTGACCAATCCACCCGTATACACCTCACAACCGTTCTCTGGAAATCTGAGCCAACTGAATCGCCGGTCCGCCATTTCTCACTTCACCCTTGCCGCAATCATCTCAGGTGCATTGATGCATGTACTGCGAGCTGGTGAAGCTCTGGAGCCATCGAGAAAGGCGAGCGAATCACTCGTAGCCATCTGACGGCCGTGGTGAAACGGATTCAGCTTCCTGCCAATTGGTTTGGATTGATGGCGTGGGTAAGGAGGGGTCTCTTGAATGATTGCAGGCAATCCGCCCTCTTTCAAAAAGCGGAAAGTCCGCGGCGGCCTCCTGGCCGTGATGGGAGCACTTGTTGCTCAATTTCACCCAGACGGTCCAAATATCCAGCATTTGTTTGAGTCGGTTTGCACTCATCAACTAGAGTGTCCGGCCGCCACCAGCAAGTCGCGGACATAGCCTCCAGCCGTGACATCCGCATGTGCTTTGATGCGCAGCAATCAGCGGTTAAACTCATCAACGGTAAACGATGAATTGGGATGACCCTGAGCAAAGCCTGTTGTCCTCATGGATGAAGCTTCCCCA